GGTCACACCATGAAACTTTGGAAGCAATCTTGTTCTATTCTGATCACTTAGCCGAGCTAAAATATCCGTGCTTTCCACCGAGCTATCGAGCTTGCTATTTTGAAAACCGAGCATATAGTTTTTCCTCCAATATCAATCTAATGTCCTCTTAGGCAACAACCCTTGTTCCAAGATTGGACTAAATTTCTTTACCTCTGAAGCCGAGATAAAAATGTTACCCCCACTCAAAAATTGAACTGAATTGCGGACCAAATTTCCTATGTCAAGCTCAGGACCACTGTATTTGGGCATCTTAGTGGTAGTTCAAACCAAGTTAGAGATTCGGCTCCATTGTTCGAAAAACCGAGCTACACAGCTTTGCTAAAAATAGCGCCATAGCTCCTTTTAGTTCTGGTGTTGAGCTATGTAACGTTGCCCTTGGTTCACAACTGCACAAAATACTGGGTTAAAAATCTAGATTTAAGCATTTGAACAATGTTGTTCGCTTGAGCTGCTCGCTATGGTTCCAATACATCGAGTTAGAAATCATTTAGCTCGAAAGACGAGTAGAACTGATGCCGAGATACATTTCTTATACAAAGACCGAGCTGCGACCTATTAGAGAATCATGTGCCCTATAACCGGGCTAACTGTTTGCCCAAAACCAAACAAAAAAAACGAGCTTAGCATGATAAGCATTGCCACCGTGCTTAACGAAAAAATTTACTTCTGGAAAGTCTTGGTACTACTCTTATGTCCAGATTTTTATGTGAATTTCAAACAAATTTTCAACTTTTACCTTGCCAAGCTAATCCTGCTTCAGTAAGGCATTTATTTGATCAAAACAACAATTTGTTTTTGGCTGAGGTAAATCTGCTTTGGTAATAGGTCCGACTGGTTAGACAGGCCATCATATTCCGTCTTTTGCCGAGCTAAATCTGGTCTAAGCTGGGAATTTCACTATGTTGGAAAATTACAGACTTCTCCACTTGCCGAGCTGAATCTGCTCTAGGCAAGGAATTCACCTAGACAAATCACCTACTCTTCATCTTGCTGAGCTGAATCTGCTCTAGGCAAGGAATTCACTTAGACAAATCACCTATTCTTCATCTTGTCGAGCTGAATCTGCTCTGGGCCAAAAGCTTGAGGAGTTGATCAAAACATCAAAAGCCTTAGCCGAGCCAAATCATCTCGACCAAAAATCTTTGAAGTTGAACCAGTCATCAAAAAGCCTTGGCCGAGCTAAATCATCTTAGTCAAAAGTCTTGGAGTTGAACAAATCGTCAACTTTCATGGCCGAGCTAAACCATCTTGGCCAAAAGCCTCCGAAGTTGAACAAAACATCAACTTCTTTAGCCGAGCTAAATCATCTTGGCCAAAAGCCTTGGAGTTGAACAAAACATTAACTTCCATGGCCGAGCTAAATCATCTCGGCTAAAAGCTTTCAAAGTTAAACACAACATCAACTTCCTTGACCGAACTAAATTATCTTGGTCAAAAGTTTTGGAATTGAACAAAACATCAACTTCCATGGCCAAGCTAAATCATCTCGGTCAAAAACTTTCAAAGTTAAACAAAACATTAACTTCCTTGACCGAGCTAAATCATCTCGGCCAAAAGTCTGGGAGTTGAACATATCATTAACTCGTTCAGCCGAGCAACATCTGCTCGGCAGAGATCCGAGTTGAACAAATCATCAACTTGTTTAGGCGGGCAATATCCGCTTGGCCGATCTCTGAGTTAAACAACTCATCAACTCGTTCAGCCAAGCAACATCCGCTCAGCGAAGATCCGAGTTGAACAAATCATCAACTCGTTTAGCTAGGCAACATCTGCTCGGCCGAGCTCTGAGTTAAACAACTCATCAACTCGTTCGGCAGAGCAACATCCACTCGGCGGAGCTCCGAGTTGAACAAATCATCAATTCGGCTTGCCGAGTAACGTTACCTTGGCCAAGAAGGTTGGAGTTGAACAATTCATCAACTCGGTTTGCTAGGTAAGGTCACCTCAGCCAAGAAAGTCAATGTTGAACAATTCATCAACTTATTTGGCCGAACAACATCCGTTCACCAACTCTTCAAGCTGAACAAGTCATCAGCTCATTTGGTTGAGCAACATCCGCTCGGTGGATAATTCCAAAGTTGATAAAATCTATCAATTATCCTCTTGCCGAGCAAAGATCTTTTTGGCAAAATATTAAGTCATTGAGATCAACCCTACTGCTTTCCCCCCCCCCTCCCAGTCTGGACTCCTGCCTTAAACTTACACAGGCAAAGCAGTTACCCAGACTAGATAGGTTGCCCCTAGACCGTGTTCACTCTTCGATTAGAATTCTCTTCGACTGAACAAATCATCAGTTTCTGTTGGAAGTTTTTAGGCAAAATCGGCTTAGCAACTTCTTGGCGAGCAAAATTCAGTTTGGTAAGAAATCTCAAAGTTGGCGAGCAAAGTCAGAGCGTGAATATCTCAACACTGTCGTCGGACGTGAGGAGTGGTAATTGCTATCCTGCATACGAGATGTCGCCATCGGTGCGACGTAGTCTCTAGCTTTGAAGTGTCTTGTGACGGAGAGTGAACGAGTGTGATGTCTATTCTAACTGCCGGAACGGCGAGAATGAGCGTGCTTATTGTAGTTCCCCACTCCAGCGACACCCTTTCCCTTCATCTGACGTTTCATGGCCTTCATCTCCATCGCCATCTTCTTGATGATGGTGTCTTGGTCTCTCAACTTGTCTTCCAGGTGCTGAGTGTGTGAGTCTAGCCGTCAGCAACGCTCTTCTAGGCTAACAGAGTGCCTAGAACTCCTTGCGAATTTATCTCAAGTAGTTCTAGGAAGTCCTCGCGCTAAGGTCTCCAAACCAGCCATCGTCGAAATGACGGGCAGGCCATCTTTGCGCCGAATGGACTCTGGCGTGATGCCGTTGATGGCAGACAACACAATGTCATCGTTGTTCATCATAAAAGATGACCGGAAAAGCTTGGAGAACAAGGTTTTGTCTGTCAGATTTCCACAGATGGCGCCAATTATACGGGGAGGAAATATTTGTCGTTTTCCGTACTCCTCGCATCCAAGCTTTGAGCTACTCCGAACAACGTCGTTTAGCCTGAGAACAAAGCGACGGTGAGCTGCCCGATGGGTGTGATGCCGGAAAGCCCCTCCGACGATCAAGTTTGCACCCTTTTAGAGAGAAAAAACGAAAGGAGACAAAAGACAGATGGCTCTGATAACCAAAATTGCAAACCTCTTGTATAGAGGTGCCGCACAGTTTGTATGGCTTTTGCACGCACTACTCTGCTCATCTTTTCCTAGATGCATGGATGTACGTGTACGCGTCAATACTGCCAAACAACAACAGCCAAACGGTATTAACGCATACTACTAGCGGGTTTTCCTCCTCGTTTTCCAATTGTGCCACGTAACAGCTCCTGTCGTGCTACCCATAACCCGACACAAGGCCGTTTACCAACTTTCATCAATTGGTTCAACTCTGAGTTGTCCAACCGGTTAACCGCGACTTGACCAAATATTGCTCAGTCCATACAGAGGACGGCTTCATTAGTTCGGACAAACCTTAGGTCAGCCCATTTCACATGTAGTCCGGTCCTTTGTTCAGTGTAAGTTCCCCTCAATTGCACACATAGCTCGGCCATTCTGCTTATTGGATTTTCCCCTCTTGGGGCCCATTTTGATAATCCGAACCGTTCATATTGTAGAATGCATCAAGTAGAAGATGCCTGCAAAAAATCAAGTTAATTAGATATCGTTTATCTATTCATCCACTCACATTTGTATTGATTTTAATACTTTAAATTACAATTATTATTTATTTTTATAGATACAAATGTGAGTAGATGAATGAGTAAACGATATCCGATTAACTTGATTTTTTGCAAGCATCTTTTACTTGATGTATTCTAAAATATGAACTGTTTGAATTATCAAAATGAGCCCCGAAATAAGCTCATTTTGCCGCACAGTAGATGCTGTACCGTGGGTTATGCAGCGGCATCCCTACGTCCCATTACAATAACAAAACTTACAAAAACTATGTAATACTAATTTAGGCTATGTTTGGCATACCCATTTGGGCTAAAATAGCCAAATAGTCATATAGGATAAAATTGACTATTTTAGTCAAATATGGCAAAATGTCACATCCAAACTATAATCATTTTATTTTTAATCTTATAAAAGTTAAAAAAAATCAAAAAAATTATCCCAAATATAACTTTTTAACCTCAAATTAAAATCATCAAAAAGTTAACTTACATTCCAAACAAAAGCTTAATTTTAATTTACGTAGTTGGTGAACCACTTATTTGAGAATTTGTCTATATGTAATATATTTTTTTTTGGTTTACAAAAAAATAATAATATAATTTCTTTTTGCATGAATACGTAACAGCTGATGTAATTTGCAAAAAAAAAAGGCGTGCTTTGAATGGGGAGTATCAGCTGCAAAATTTGACCCGAATTCTATTGGGACTGGATCCTGTCTTTCCTTCTTCAGTCTGGCATATTTAACTCTTCCTCAATTTTTTTTTATTTAATTTAATTGTAAATTTAAATAAAAAAAACTTTATTTATTTATTTATTTATTTTTATCAAAAATAGAATGTTAATGCGTTATTAAACTTTGGTTACAACTCAAAAGAATCGTCGCTGCTGATCTATCAGCTCAAATTCTAAACTTTCTACTCATCACACCCTAAGGTGCAATTATATGTCACTCGACCACAAAAATTTTGAAAAAAAAAAATTAATTTGATTTGATATTTCAAATTTTTATCAAATTTTATTTTAATTTACTAAATTTTTCTCTTATCTCCAATTTATCCTCTCATCAAATTTTATGAAAAAAAATATTTTTAATACTTCATGTTTTTAATTTGATGAAATATTCAATGAATGAATCAAAACTAATTTATTATTATTATTTTTTTTATGAAATTTAAATTCCATAAGAAAAAAAATTAAGAATGAGATCCTCGTACTATATATACCCCCACCCAGCTTCTCCCCAGCCAATATTGGAGCCTCCTGTCCTGTAATCTTCTTTCTTGTATTGTTAACAAAATCCAGTTTCACTCTCTTTGGTTTTTGGTATATCATTCATCCATTCATTCATCCACAAACTTCCATTTTTTGGGATATCATTCATTCTTTCATTCATCCACAAACTTCCATTTTTTGGGATATCATTCATTCATTCATTCATCCACAAACTTCCATTTTTTGATTTTTTGGGATATCATTCATTCATCCACAAACTTCCATTTTTCAAGCTTTTTCAGTGAATAAAAATGGAATTGGAACAAGTAAGGCAAGGACAAGAAGAGCAAGAGCAAGAGCATCCACTCCATAACCCTCTTCTCTCCCCATACAAGATGGGAAACTTCCTACTTTCTCATAGGTATCTATCTTTCTTTCTTACATACACTAGAAATTTTTCTTGATTTTGATCCCACTTGATTTTGTTGTTTATATTTGCAATAAACAGTTCGATTGATAGAAAGTAGTTTTTTTTTTCAATTGTTTTCTCCTTATGTTGCTGAGTGGGTTTGTTAACGGGTGGTGTTTGAGGAAAATCCCATATGGGAAATTCATTCATTCTTTCATTTTTAATATTCAGTAATTCGCTCTCTCAATCACTTCACTTCTTTGTGTTCAGTGTTGTAATTCTTCTAATTAGTGACTGTATTTTTATATTTACTGGATGTTAGTTTGAAGAAATCTTCTTGTTTATGGTTTTTTAGTCAATTTTTATTTTTTTATTTATTGTTTTACTTCTATTTGACATGAATGTGCTGACATATTATATTTTCAAATTTAAATGTATACTTGCTGGTATTTTATATTTAGGGCATCTCTAACTCAAACTTATATGAAACTTAAAATTTGGTAAAAAATCAGTCAAACACCCTCCACTCCTTGACCCAAACTTGTACTAAATTGAGTTTTACTCAAATTTTTTAACGAATCAAGTTTACTCAAAATTTTGAAGGCTGTTTTGTGACTCCAAAATTTACCACTTTGCCTTTAGTGTCGTCTTAGATTTATGCTTAAATCTGAGTTTGTCCATTTGTATCAAATTAACCTTTTACTCAAATTTTTACTTATTTTGAGTAAGGGCTAGAGATGGGCTTATACGTATTCATAGGTGGCTTTAAGTACATGGACAGAAAACCAACCACGGACAATATGAGTAGAATTCTTTTATGTCGTTGATTCTGTGATTAGAGTTTTAGAAATGAGGTATCATTTTCTTGTAAACCACTTTCACTCTTAGGCTAATTATATGTTTTCCCCTTCAATATCATCTCATGTGTATCTCTCCAAAGTTCCTAATGAATATCATATGCAGTGTTCCATATTATTCGCTCATATGATTTGTGGATGCAGCCTAAACTTATTAGATTGCTCTGAAACTAGCATTTTCAAATGATTAATTAACAAGATGATTATTCTCTATGTATTGGCCCAAATGTATTTTCTCTCCTTAACTTTTGTTGGCAGTTGTTTAAATTTGTGTCTTGCAGACTGTCTCTGCTCATCATCATTAAATGCGTCAATTGGAAAAGAATTCAAGAAATTTATTTATTTATTTTTTATTTTTTAAAACAAAAATACAGGAAAGAAGTGATGTTTTCTGTGAGATTTTAAGGGGCTTGAGAAGAATCATCTGATATCTATGTAAACAAATATCCCTTAGTTTCATACCCTGACAGATAAATGGGAAGGTCACATCTCCTTTTTTGGCATTCTCTGCAAATTTAAAGGGTAGCTTTCTTTTTCGAGTCTAGATCCCCTCCTTGAGGCCCCTTCTTCATTCCCTCCTTGCAGGGCCTTCGGGTCCACTTTGAAGCCCAGTTTTGATAATTTGAACCGTTCATATTTTTAGATTTATTCAGTATACCATACCTGTAAAAAATCAAGTTGATCGGATATCAGAAAGTATGCGTTTAGAAAATTGGGACTACAAACTATTTTTTAATAAATAGTTTTCCGAACACATACTTTCTGATATCCGATCAACTTGATTTTTTACAGGTATGATATACTAAATAAATCTAAAAATATGAACGATTCGGATTATCAAAATTGGGTCTCAAAGTGGGCCCGAAAGCCCTACAAGAAGGGAATGAAGGACCGAAATGAAGAGGAGGATCCCAATTCTTCTTTTTCCTCTTCATTTTGTGACTTTGTTTTCATTTATTTGGTTGTTGTCATTTTCTTTTGAACTCTTAAGTTCATTGTCCCATATAGACTTATAACTGACACAACACACCATCCTGTTCAGTGGCGACTCTGAGAATTTTTGTTAGTGGTGTCAATTAAAAACTTAAATATCATATATCTTACAGAAAATTCACATTAATCATTATATCACCTATAGAGAAAAAAATCAACAAATTAATTTAAATTCTAAAATTATAAACAAAAATATTTCAATATATTGATACTATTGTTTAAGCAAAAAGACATGCTAATACACGAGCTTCTATAATTTCCAAAGCAAGAATACAAACTATCACTTTACAAATAAAACATTTTAAACAAAAAGTAGACCAAAAAAAAAAATATGACTTTACAAATAAAATATTTTAAACAAAAAATAGGTAAAAGTTAAAAAGTAAACTTTTTTCATTGGTGGGTTCAAAAGAGTAGGACTTAAAATTATGGGTTCAAAATTGTATTTTAGTGGATTCAATTACTAATTTTTTTTCTAAAATCTAATATTTATATAATAAATAAATAAATAAATTCAGTCAGGGGGTTCGGGTGACACCCCTGACCAAGCCTTGGAGCCGCCCCTGATCCTGCTACAGTTCGTATGTTGATCTGGACATGTTAGTTCTTTTTAATCGTGATTGAATTTTAATCATCGAATGAAGTTCTTAACGTTTTTTGTCATGTCATTCTTATTTTAGTGGTGGTTCTTTTGTTTGCCTTGTGTTTTTTAATTCTAAAGAAGCTATTATAATTTAATTAGTGTAAGGTTCATCTTTACGAGGAGCACATTGTCTAAATGCTTGATGTAGTTTTCTTATCTTTTTTTCTTTTTTCGCTCCAAAATTTTCAGAGTTGTCTTGGCGCCATTGACTAGGCAGAGATCTTTCAACAACGTTCCTCAACCACATGCTATCTTATATTACTCACAGAGGACCAGCAAAGGAGGTCTTCTCATTTCCGAAGCCACTGGGATTTCTGATACTGCACAAGGGTACTTTTTAACATTAGTAGTTCGCCAATTTCAATCTTTTCTATTGATTTAAAGGAAAATATGTAGGTGTCCGTGTGCAAGAGTGTGCCTATCTGTGTGACTAAGCGTGAGTGTCTTCATTTCTTATTGTTCTATTACTAATTCTTCTTTCTTTCCAAATGAAGATATCCATTTACACCTGGTATATGGACAAAGGAGCAAATTGAAGCCTGGAAACCGATTGTAGATGCTGTTCATGCAAAGGGTGGTGTGTTCTTTTGTCAGATTTGGCATGTGGGAAGAGTTTCAAATCAAGGTATATTGTTGACTTTTGCCCCAGTTTGAATATCTCTTTCATCATTGGACAATATTTCACTGATAATAACAATGAAAAATCAAATGTTTCCAGCTTGTTGGTTAGCTTCTTTGTTTGCAAAACATAACTAACATTTGTGGTAGAATTGGTGGCAACATTTTGAGTTCTACTTTTCTGTTTACATTTGTCAGCTATGTTGCACAGACTCAATATGTATGTTGATTATGGTTATCTTTTGAGGTTTTGGTCTCATTGATTAGCATATCCTAGAAAAATAAGGATTTTAAGTAGTTTTCCACTGGAAGAAGCTAACTGGATGTACATTCTCTGTAACAAAACACAAAACATTGTTGAGACATGGGTGGCCACAAGATTTTAGATGTTGTGTTAGTGGCTAACAAATGAGTGGATTTGTGGTTGAGAAGTGGATCCCTGGGTTTGATTTGCAAGATTGACATTGAGAAGGCCTATAACCATGTTGATTCTGTTCCTTGGTTATGTGATAATTATGATGGGTTTGGGCCAAAAGTGGAGAAACTGGATTTAGTTATGTATTTCTACAGTTTAGTTTTTTGTTTTTGGTTTTGTTAATGGTTTCCCAGATGGTTTCTTTTATGCTGCTAGAATTGCGGTTGAAAGAGGGATATATATCTTTTGGGATATCTTGTTTTGTTGGGATTGGGAAGTGGTTGTTTTCTTTTCAGAGGAGCTAAGATAATATTTTGACAGAGTTGAGACTCCTATTTTTGTTCTGAGTAGTACAATTTTGGCCATTTTGTACCGCTGGTTTCTGGGTGGGATTGATCCATCCTCGGACCAATTTTTGGATGAAAATATGTATAGCAGTTCTGCTTTACACTTTTACTGGTAGCTGCCTCTTTTTTAATATAGTTTGTAATTTTTTACTGATAAAAACAAAATAAAAACAATTTTGGTTCTCTCTTAACTTATGCAATTACTATGTACAGGTTTTCAGCCAAACGGGCAGGCTCCAATCTCCTCTACAGACAAGTTGTTGACTCAAGCTCGAGCTAATGGTTTCAATGTTTCAGAATTTTCACCTCCACGGAAACTCAGGACTGATGAAATTCCTCAAATTGTTAATGATTTCAGACTCGCTGCAAGGAATGCAATGGAAGCTGGTAAGTTTGTGGCTATATTTTCATTAATATAAAGCATTGTCAGACTTGTAAGATGATAAAAAGAGACATTTTCTTTGAAAAGAAATGCTGTAAAGAACTATGAGAAACCAGATTTTTCTCATACGAAATGAAGCTCAGGTTGCTTTTGTTGTTTCTTTTGCAGGTTTTGATGGGGTTGAAATCCACGGAGCTCACGGTTACCTAGTAGACCAGTTTCTGAAAGACCAAATTAATGACCGAACCGACAAGTATGGAGGCTCTTTGGAGAACCGTTGCCGATTCGCACTTGATATCGTTGAAGCCATTGTCAATGAGATAGGAGCCGATAAAGTTGGAATTAGGCTCTCTCCATTTGCAAATTACATGGAATCCGGGGACTCAAATCCAAAAGCTCTAGGTCTTTACATGGCGGAATCATTAAATAAATATGGTATTCTATATTGCCACATGGTTGAGCCTAGAATGAAAACGGTTGGAGAAAAATTTGAAAGCCCCGACACGGTTTTGCCAATGAGGAAGGCTTTCAAGGGCACTTTCATTGCTGCGGGAGGTTATGACAGAGAAGACGGTATGAGAGCCGTGGCAGAGAACCATGCGGATCTTGCCGCGTATGGTCGGTTGTTTCTGGCGAATCCGGATTTGCCAAGGAGGTTTGAGCTCAATGCTCCTCTTAACAAGTACAATAGAGAGACCTTCTATAGTGCTGATCCTGTTGCTGGTTATATTGATTATCCATTTCTTGAAGAAACCAATGCTTAAAATATCTTCTTCTGGGGTTGGATTACAGTCATTGTTGTCAAGATTTTAGGATTCACTGTTTAAAATAAATTCTTTTCACTTTTTTGTTTTAGAACTGTTGTATCAGTGTAATAGAATAATACACTCATATGTTTCTGGTCACTTTGATTGTTTAAGTGGTAGCAATGTAGTTATTATTTGACAGAAGTGAATTGGAAGCCAGAAAGTCCTGTATGTTCGAGTGGATGCACCTCTTTTAACTTTTTTTCCCCTTCTATTTTGCTTCTCTCCTATGTTGTCTCTGAAATATAATTATAAATATATTTATAAATTAATCATAACATCCCAATTTCATTGCAGTTGACTCAATGATTAAACTAGACCTTAATTTAATATATATGATCAACGATCCAATTTTCAAAGCATCGCTCTAGATGGCAACAGGCGTAATGACGTTGGGTGGCTATTCATTTCCTCGCGCCTCCTCTTCGACCTGTCCATACATCATCAATTATTCGTCCTACGATAATAGCCAAAGCCTGCCCACCTAGGGACAAGAAATAAATGAGGGTATCCTTTCCTCAGTCCGTGATTTTATTAGAGAGTATTGTTAGGCTTATGGGAGCTCATTACGGATACCGTTCGATAATTCAAACCATTCAATGTGTAGAACTTGTTAAGTACTATATTCTTGTAAAAAAATCACATTGATCAGATATCGATAGTTACGTGATCAAATCAGTTTTGTATAAAAGCAAATAGACGGTGAAAAAATAGATTGTTAATAGAAATCTGACATGATCACATAGTTATCGATATCCGATCAATATGATTTTTTATATGCATATAGTACTTGATGAGTTTTACACATTAACAGTTCAAATTATTGAAATGAAACCCGTAATAATCACCCGGGCCCAACAGTATACCCAATAGATAAATACAAGCGAACAAAAAAAATTCTGCTCCCCCTTTTAGGAAAAATTCGACCTGGTGCGTTAAGCTTTCTACTTAAATGATAAGAAAATATAGTACATATTTTGAAAAAACTATTTTAATGACTTGAATCTACACTATTAAGAATGAATAATATTATATGCACCAATTAGTGCATTAATTAGTATATTAATTGATGATGTGACATAATTTAAAAGGTTTTTAGTATTTGTAATGTAATTGATGAGTGTGGTCAATAATAATGTTATAACTACTGTTGGTACACTAGTTAGTACACTAATTGGTGCATGTAGCACCACCGATTAAGAATAGGGTAATGTTACGGATCCTAAATTTTCTACCAAACAAATGATTAAATGTCTTACATAAATGTGAGGTCTGCAATTCTTAGTAGTATTAATAACAAGTCTTATCATTGAGTCAAATTATTTTAGGAAAATTTGGCTATAAACCCCTCTTATCTTCCTTTTATTGTTAAAAAGACCAAGAAAAAAATTATACTTTTAAAACCCCTTCATAATTATAAAATCTAGTATAAAGGACAAAATTTATTATTTAAATATTTTATCAGACTATTATAGCCTCAACTAAATCTTTCCTAATCACCATCTCAATCTCTCAAGCTTCGTCTGATACAACTATTGCTTATACATAGACGATGCTGCCATAGCTAGGGTTTCAAAGGAGATCTAGTCGGAGTGACCATATCTGGTAGCAAAACCGACGCCGATGGCCTCGCATGCCTCTTCGCCACCCCATTGCCTTCGCCTTTCATCTTCCACGGCATCTATTTCGTAGTCGGTGAAAATCGCCGCCGCCACATATCTATATCCACCACCAGCTCCGATCGAAACATAAGAATATCGATCTAAGTTTCCAGCGTTCAATCCGAATATTGATCTATTGCTTCACCGTCACGGTACTCTAGGAGGGGGCGATGGAGTTTGAACGGCTTGAGATCTCGAAGAACTCGAGTTGCACACCGTCGACGCCATTACAACGACTCAAGCTATTGGTGTGGTTTTCGGAGTTAGTGAAGATAAGGAAATACCTTGTTTAGTCATAAATCTCTCTCTTGGTAGGTAGCATCTTCTCTTTCTTGATACAAACACATAACACACATACATAGAAAGAAAGATGGTGTTGAGGTTGCAAACATTGATGATTTTGTAGAAGATTGAATTTTGGTATTCATCGATTTTTAATTTTTTTTTTAATCTGGTTGGTTGTTAATCTAATTTTTTTTTTATTTGTTGTTGTTGACTGGAACATATAAATGTTGTTGGAAAGAGAAACAGAGAGAGAAAACTCAAATTATGATATGTATAATTTCAACAGATAAATGTTAATGTAGAGAGGAGAGGGAGAGAGAGAGAGAGAGAGAGAGAGAGAGTGAGTAAAAAGAGAACTGGGATTGTTTCAATAGATAAAACAATGAGTGGAATTGTTTCCAATTGGCCTTTTTTTTTATTATTATTTGTTAATAGATCTTAGAGTAAAACTTGACTCTAGTTCATTCATTTTGTATGTGTTTTATTTTTTGTGACAGTAAAATTTTACTCTGGTTAAAAACATGTTGATTTTCTTAACAATATAAAATTTTACTTTGAATCATAGTAAACTTTACTTTGATTCAGAGTAAAATTGTACTTTCAGAGTAAAATTTTACTCTAAATTAGAGTAAAGTTTACTGTGATTCAAAGTAAAATTTTACTCTAATTAAACACATGTTGATTTGCTTAACGATATAAAATTTTATTTTGAATCATAGTAAACTGTACTCTGATTCACTCTGAATCAGAGTAAAGTTTACTATGATTCAAAGTAAAATTTTACTTTGGTTAAAAACATGTTGATTTGCTTAATGATATAAAATTTTACTTTGAATCATAATAAACTTTACTCTGAAATACACTGTGAAGATGGCTGAATAGGATAGCTAATAGATATGAGGGTAATATAGTAAAAGAAATAAGTTTTAAAATATTAAGGGGTTTTGAAAGTACCTATATAATTCTTGTCTTTTTGAAAGACAAATTAGACAGTGAGGGGTCTATTAGTAGCCAATAGCCTTTGGCTTCGTTTGGAATACAGATTGGTTTTTTGGTTTTTTTGATTATTTTAGCGTAAGGCTAGAAAGTCTCGTTTGTGATGAATTTTTTGACTTTGTTAACTTCTGTGAGAGAAAAAATAAAATGATTATGATTTGGAAATAACATTTTGTTTTATTAATTTCTAACATATTTTATTTTTTTATGACTATTTTAGTCTGGTAACCATTGGGGATGCTATTGCTAAATTATGGTAGCAATTCATAGAAAGCTACCCCCAATGGTAAGTTTTAGCAGCTGCTATCTTTTGCAAATGCCAAAGCTTGTGTCTAATATGGCACAAGTCAGCTTTAACCAACTTTTTCCTTCCTCCCTTTCTTATAATCCTTTCCAGACATAGAAACAAAATTCACCCAAAAACCACCAAAAAAATAAAAATAGAAGCAAAATTTCTAGAATAAACACAGATTAAGCAATTTCAATTTCAAGAAAAATTTCAGTAAAATTTCAATTTCAGCAATTTCAAGCAAAATAACTAAATAAATAAATTGAACAACACAGTGAAGTCAAAAAAAAATTACCTGACAGAAATGGTCTTCATTACGATTGATCTTCTTCGTGTTCTTTGGATAGTTAGGGTTAGGGTTTTGATCATTGGAGATCAACGATTTAGAACTGAATGAGAGAAAGATCGAAAATGAAAAAGGTGAGAGATAAGAGGTTGTAGTGGAGAAGAGGGTTGGAGATCAGCGGTTTAGAACAGAGGGGGAAAGAGAGAGAGAGAGAGAGAGCGAGCGAGAGAGATCGAATAAGAAGAATGTGAAAGATAGGAGGTTGTGGTGGAGAAGAAGGTTGGACATCGGCAGTTTAGAACGAAGGGAGGAAGAGATCAAAGAGGAAGAAGGTGAGAGATAAGGGGTTTTGTTGGAGAAAAGGATTGGAGATCGGCGGTTTCTTTCACTTTGGTGGTGGTTGGTTCCTTTCATTGTGGTGGTGATTTTGGTAATGAAGAAGGTGAGAGAGAGAGGGAGAAGAGGGTTGGAGAATAGAGAAGAACATTTGGGGAAGAATGTTAGAGATCAACAGTTGTGGTGGTTGTTGCTAAGGGTTTGGTGGTAGCTGTGGTTGAAGGTGGTGGTTGTGGTGGTGAAGAAGATGAGACACAGAGTAAGAGAGTGGGTGAGGAAATCTACAATCGACGACGACGAGGGAGAGAGATAAAGACTAGTTCTGGAGAGGCATTGGAGAGATAAGAGAAACAGAGAGATGGGTAGAGAGAGAGAGAGCAAAGTTGGGAAGTTTCTAGAATCAAGAGAGACAGAGTGATAAGAGAGATAGAGAGATAAGAGAGACAAAGAGAAGCAGCAATCTGAACTGTTGGGTTGTTTAATCCAACAGTGCTCTTTTGTCATTGGAATACACAAATTGAGCAACGGCTCTTTTTTTTCCTCCAATTGAGAAATGTTTGAAACAACCTGGTTTTTAATGATTATAATTTAAACGAATAAAAAAATGTCATATTCTTACTTCCTATAAAACTAAACAACCAATCTCAATTTGAATACACATTATCTTCAATCTACATAAATTTTTTTGTTTGTTTTTTCACACAATCAGTATGAAAGGTTCATCAAAAACAAAGAGAGGAAAATCATTAACCACTCAAGAAGATGTGGAAATTTGTAGAGCTTGGTCTCACATTAATAAAGACCCAATTGTTGGGAATTTGCAATCTCATGCTCATTTTTTAGGAAGAATTTTTGAAAATTATTGCTCGCTACAGAATGATCATTCAAGAACATAAGTGTCTATCTCATCTCGATGGGGTGTAATCATAAAATGTTGTAACAAATTTCATGGGAGTTTGGCACAAGTCGAAAATCTACGTCCAAGTGAGATCTCTGTGATCTAAATGTTATTAATCACACTTTAAAAGTGTGATCTAAATATTTTTAATTGTACTTAAAAGGTGTGATCTAAATATTTTTAATCACACTTAAAAGATGTGATCTAAATATTTTTAATCACATTTAAAAAGTGTGATCTAAATGATATTAAGCACACTTAAAAAGTGTGATTAAAAATGACACATTTTAATCACACTCCCAAAGATCACACTTTAATAAAACTTAAAAGGTGTGATTAAAAAATATACATCACACCAAAAAAGTGTGATCTTTATATGTTTTTGTAGTAGTGAATGGTAAGTTTTAGCGGCTGCTATCTTTTGCAAATGCCAAAGCTTGTGTCAAATATGGCACAAGTCAGCTTTAACCAA